CAAACACATAATACACAATAATAATAATTAATATAATATCTATTTTTTACTTAAATCAAGTACATAAATATATATTTACAAATTACATGATACCTATTATATTAAATATCAAACATAAATCTTTAAATATTTAAGTAGATACTAAATTAAAAAATTATACCTAAAAATTTTTAAATTTTGTACCAAATATAATTCAACCCTAACTTATACGAAAATACTCACCCTTAATTAATGGGTTCCAATTTCCAATCTTCCAAGTTTCAATTTCAAATGGTGAGACAAGAGTGCAAGACAGGACAACTTAGATTTTATTGAACGCAAAGCAGCACGGTAAGAAGGATAAGCTTTGCTTTTTTCTTTTTTTTCTTTTTTTTCTTTTTTAAATATTAGGAAATTGAGAAAATTTGGTTGATATTACAGTGAATGAAATCTTAATTAACGTCAAAAGTTAACCTCCATGGAATGGCTCAGTGGTTAAGAACTTAAGACTTTAAGTTAAAGATCTCAAGTTCGAATCTTGAGTCGGGTGAAGAGAGATTTGAAAATAGAGGAGGGTTATCCCCTTTTATATAATTCATCATTAAATATACCAAAAAAAAAAATAAATATCAAAAATTTAATACACTTGAATCAAGGCAACCAAGATGGCAAGTAAGAAGGAAAGGCTTGTTTCTTTTTTTTCTTTTTTCTTTTTTTTTTGAACAATTTTGACATTATTTACAAGTATATATGGGGGAGGGGGAAAATGAGTTCCATGAGACTCGAACATGCCAAACACGCCATCCACGGAGTGAACAGCCCTAAGTTAAGGTTTAATACCACTAGACCGAAACGAGCATTCAAAAGGAAAGGCTTGTTTGAATATTCAAATTTCAAAGACATTCATAACTAGAAAGCTTGGTCAATGATCCCCGCTCTTTGGAATGGTGGTTAAGATTATTGGTTAGAAAAGATTCTCTGGTGAGCTATATCTTCAAATCCCATGATGTCTCCTTTTTAGTTCTAATATACTAAAAATATGGGCTAAATTCAATAAATAATTTATTAATTATGTGATTTATTTTAGTTTAGTTTAAAAGTAATTTTTTTAAATAATCTATAAATTATCAATTTTGTTTTAAAATGATTTACTTGACAAACATTCTGTTAACGGACTAACAGAGTTCTTTGACAAGCTACCCTCTAAACTTTTGAAAAATATTAAATATAGTACATATATTTTTATTTTTTACAACATTTTATTTTTGAAGTTCAAATTTTTGTCAAATGTAATAATTAACTAAGATGAAA